AAAATTAAGCATTATCGAGTATAATATCAGATTTATCTGTAAAAGAAGAAATTTTATTCGGTTTTATCTATATTTTATCTCTTATTAAAGGATTATTATATTTTATGACACTAATATCCCAGATTTAATATAAGGAAATGTATCTCTCTTATTTTGAAAGAGTTTACACAATGTAGAAAGAATGAAGGCTGTAATATATTATCTATAACAAGAAAGCTGCTTCTTTTCTGAAAAAATTCCGCCTTCTTAACGCCACGTACATGGACGTTCTATTCGTCGCGTGTTTCTTTCCTGACTCTTACGGGAGTTATCGCCGGTAATTTCGAGTCGCGCGATCCGAAACGGCATCGCCGTGCCATGAAACAGCCGCGCTTAAGCCGTAGCCACCGGGCTAATGTCGTAGATACCTCCCACGGCGAAATTAAGGCAAATCGTGTGCTGGCGCTCGCCGCCATACGACACTGTTCCACCAGGAAAATCGATATGCAAATCTACGCGCAAATCCTAGTAATCTTGCTCACCCGTCCTGCAGCCCTTGCAATGGCTCGACGGGTGTATGCCATCTACCGTCGACACCCTCGCTCCCTTCGCATCTCCTATCCACCTAACTTCTTTCCATCTATTCTTTTTCTCTCTCTTTCTCTCTCTTTCTCTCTGCGATTCGCATAGTTTCTCTCTATCATTCTGTCTGCGATGCTCGTTTCAAAAGCGAGAATGCGTTCTTTCCCTCTCGGCGTGCTCCCATGCGCAGGGTTGCGATAGGAGACGACGGGCAGGGGACGACGTTGGGAGATGGGTGAGAGGTTATAAAACGGGGTTAGCCCGGGACTGAAGGATCGTGTTCGTCGGCCACCTTCGACGACAGGGCTTTATCGAGGTGAAAAAGGTTGCTCGACATCGACCTCCCGCCGCCATGAAGTGAGCACCTTCCATCCCGCGGGTTTGCTAGGCACCACCCTCTCTTGCTTTTTCTCTCCTACGCTTCGTCGTCGAGTCATTTTCGCCGATGTCTCCGCGTAGGTTTTTTCCACGCAGCTGGATAGAGAAAACGATCCAAGTGCTCTCATGCGACGAATTATTATTGCGCGGTTTACTGTCATACTTCTTACTTCTTATACGCGGTTCTTGTAATCTCGATATTGATGCCTGTAAAATTTTTTATATTGCTCAAGTCGCGAATGTGAATGACATTAGCGGCAGATAAGTTATCGGTTTGCACTTTTCTAAATGTAACTACAATGTAATCGAAGAGTTTGCTGTCGCAAATAAGTTGGTAATTTGTTAAACTAGTTTTTTCCGTGTACTAATTTAAGAAAGATTATACAAATTTATGATACAGTTGTGAAGCAAATTAACTGAAATGCTTTACTTTTATTTGCATTATTTTAACTCACTTTAAAATCTCTATTTAAATGTAGTCTGTTTTGCACCGATTCTTGCGGTTGAGAATAATATTTTTCAAACAAGTTGATTTATATAAATTTTTTATTGTTAAGTAATTATTATGATTTACAGCTTTATTTCATATCAGTATTTGTAGTAAAATAAATACTTTTTAATTAAAGCTGTATTTCGTCTGGCCGAATCGCATTTTGTCTTCCTCACTGGCGTCTCTGGTTTATTTATGTGAAACGGGGAAAAAAAGAAATGCACATCCCGAGTAGCTTGTGTTCGTGGGAGGTCAACGCGAAAGGAAGGAAGACAATCAATCTTGGTTCCAATTATCGCGTCGCTCAGCGACTGTAATTGAGTCGGACTCGAGGCTCCGACCGCCTCCATCTATGTGGCGTTTCTTTTGTAATGCCGGAAGGCCGAAACAATGAAGGCACAGAAGTTCCTCCGTTGTGCTCGTGCGAGTCGACTGGAAGCATTTTTTGGCTTTGGCACACTTGCTCGCTTCACCAATGAGTTATCAAGGAACTAATGGCTAAAGATTATTTACTGCTTCCGTATCGATTGGACTTCTTTCGTTCTTTAACCTTTCAAACATGATATTTTTTCTTTTGTATAATAAAAAACGATACACGTTTGATTATAATTACATGTTACGGACAGTTGTATAAATTTATATTTTTAAATTTGTATTGTACAAGATTTGTAGATTAAAACTAGCAGGATCCTATAATATTGGCTTAGACATTTTTTATCGCGTCGTCTAGGACGCAATAAGGTTAATACCTTCTCAGAATTGATAATGCAAAAATATTAAAGTTTATCTTGTGTGCTGCATATGTTAGGTAATTTATCTAAGCGGATAAACATGAAATCGAATAACTTTTTATTATTTCGTGTCAGGTTTATACCTACTTACATGTGAAGAGCCAGAGAAATGACTTCTCCAATACTCTCTACGTGTTGTAAATTTTCAAATAGCACACATGAGTACCAATAACATAAATTATATTGTTTGTCTGAATTGTCAAATATATCAATTTTTTATAACAGTTTTGGCAGAGACATCGGAGTTTATCCGTGAACTATTAACTCTACAGTTCTTAAATTTTGCTTTCAAGCACTATTAGGTGTTATATTTTTGTGTTTATTATCGGAAAAGAAATTTAAGAAAAAGTTTTTATTATAATTTGCTTGGAGTTAGTACTTCTAGAATAAATATTGTATTATACATGATATCCTTTTCGATATAATTGCAAATCAATTTTAATACAAAGCTTGCTAGTGATAAATACTACAATTATATACGATTATTAATTCCGACGGCTTCGCTAGCTGGAACAATATAGATTCGTCGGCATTAAAGTTAAGTCCATCTAAGGATGAAACAATTCGGTCGTTAAAAGATCTGTGAGATATTACATCATTATGTGTGAGATTTACGAGGCTCCCTGTCTCCGGAGATCCTCTAAATATCATTAAAGTTTCATTAAAATTAGAGGGGAGCATTTTGCACGGTTCCCCGGAGAATGCTGTTTCTTATCAGTAGACCCTTTAAATCAACTTTAATATTGCGCTCATCAGTTAACACCATCTAGAATATACGCCAGCTTAAGCATCCCGAAACTATATTTATTTGCATCATTATGATACTCTTACCAGTACAGTCGGTAATTTATCCCGATAAAATATCGTCGAGATTTATGTCAGAGCACAATTGAAATAACAGTATTAACAAAACTGTACAAGACAAGAATGAAAAACAATTTCCTGAGTTCTCCGCGAATGTTTTATTTTTTTAAATATTTATCATTTTGTTTTTATTTTGGATCTGTAGTTTGTCCATATTTTTTTTCCTATTCTTTTTTTTGTTAAATTGTACATCTGTTATTTTTAATATCTCTTCAAAATGTCAAGTTTATTTCGAGAATGAGTTTTCTACTTGGATGGTTTATATAAAAAATTGCTTCGATAAATTTTTTATTACACTAAATATAAAAATAAGATAGACAAACTGAACATAATGATCCGCGACGAGCAACAAACACAGAAACCAATTTTAAAGCATCGATGCTGACGCAAATCCACGACAGACCATGTAGCTCGTGCAGGGGCAAGCGCTCAAACGGGAATCTTGTCTTGTGCAATTAGTCGAGCTTAAACCGCTCCGTGTCAACGAGAGGTCGGCTCCGCGGCGACGATGACGACGGCGAAGACGATGAAGAGGGCGGAGCATTTCCTCTCAATGGGTCGAAACTTTCTTGTGGCGGGTACCTACACATTATTCCTCGAAACTCTCGAATGTGCTTAATTAGGCGATATTTGAGCGCTCGTCCCGCCGCCACCACCGCCAACACGTCCTATCGCTCCCTCTCGGCCGCACAGCCGCCGCAGCCTCTCTGTCTCTGATGGAGTTTACGCTCGCAAGCCGCTATTACCGAAAGCCACTGGATTTCCGTAAGAAAGCACGGCGGCTGACGGTGGCTACCCTTCGGGCCGCCGTTCTATATAGACGTCTTACCTGAACTAATATTGTTAAGGTCTAATTAGTACCACCACGACACCGTGCGCGACCTCGTTTCGTCCTGCCTATCCTTCCTTCCTCCATTTTCCGCCGCCTTCCGCATCTCCGTTCCGAGTCTCTCTTTCCGAGCCGCTTGGCAGCCTCTCGACGGCGCTCCTTCCACCTTCTCGCCTTCGCATCACTTCTGTATTCCGCCCTTGCATCCGCAACTTACACCGTAAACCGCGTTACACTTGGTCGCAACACCCGAATTACGAAAAGGAGAGGCCGAGGGAGGCAGAGTAAATGAGAACACGATATGGCGGGTGAATACCGGTGTGACTTTCGGATATTAGCTATATTATGAACCACTGGTGCGCCAGTGCGTTTCATTCGTGGATAAATTGTAGACTGCGGCTCGCAAGTAATAAATTGTGTACAGCTTCGTCGAAGTCCTATGTGTATACACGCGGAAATGTAAGGTACTCGTATTACGAATATATTATTACTAGAAAATTGGCGTCTGTGTTATATTAGTGGTATGAATATTAAATATTTTACCGATCATTATGATCGCAACAACGTAAAATAACTGAGACTACAATTGACGATCTCTCGCCCAGTATAATTGTTAATAAATTTATAATCGATACTTTCTCTCAGCTTTTAACATTAATTCTTTGCTTAGGATAATATTCTGATTTTGAATATTATAACATTTGTTAGGTTAGAACTTTGGAATGTACATTTTCTTTACTGCGATGCATTGAAATCTTATATTTGAAACAATGAAATGGTCTAGAATTTTAGAATATAAAATTTTGATGTATTGCAGTAAAGAAAATGTGAATTCCAAAATTCTAGGCCTATCTATTAGGAAAGTAATATTTTTTTTTTATTTCAATAATTAATTAATATTCTTGCAAATTTATCAACAATATATATACAGTACAGTTTAGTATAGTAATTTATTAGCGCAAATTTTCAAATTATTCTCTAAATAAAATTTTTCACCACTTTGCATGATTACCGCGGTAAATATTGCGAGCTTGTGCTTCTCGCATAAATCAACAGATTTTAAACACGTTGTGCATTTTTGTTCCAGGGTCGGTGTAATCGTGAGAAGCCACCTTGCAAGTATTTCCATCCCCCACAGCACCTGAAGGACCAACTCCTGATAAACGGGCGCAACCACCTAGCCCTGAAAAACGCGTTGATGCAGCAGATTCAGCAGGGTCTCACGCCGGGTCAGCCTCTGGTGCCCGGCCAGGTACCCACAGTGGTATGTTTGACAAATTAACACGATCGTTGCATCACGTCTTCTGCTGTCCACACATATTCACACACTTCCTTTTATCACGAATGAAAAATCTTGATTTTATTTGTGGTGTTTATAGTCGAGGGTTACTATTATTAGATTACTTGTTTCGGTAAGCGACGCTGCGTAGATTATCGACGGCGCGGTATCTGAGCTTTTTTTTCTTGTATTATATCAACAAACTTGAAGCTAGACGTGTTAGAAGCTGCGTTTGCGTGCAAAATCCCGCGTATTATTTCTAACTGAAACTTTGCAAGCTCTTCCGGTAGGATTCTCGCGGTACACCTAAGCGCAGCGCTTCGCCGTCCATATTTACCTGCGTTCTTTTTTGCAGATATTGCACAAGGAGAGATCAAGTTTTTTAAGAATTAAAGTTTAGCACGCCGCATGTTCTTGGTCAGTGTCATCCCCACTTCCTATATAAGCCTCACTTATCCATCTCGATGGACAGTCAATTTGCAGAATCGAGTCTCTTTGATACGACCTTAACGCAGACCAATGATTCTTAAAAATTAATTATTTTATATTATTATTTTTTTTTTTAATTCTAATGTTCCGCTATATTTATATTTTCTATTATTTTTAAATCACGAATTATTTTTTATCACAAATCAAAGATGCAAATCTGCAATAATTCTAGATATATTAATGTATATTATATTCGGTTTACGAATCCTACTTTATTCATCCACTCCCTCGTAAAGTTGTAAAAAACTTGTAACATAGCTTAAGAGCCCTTGGTGTGGACATATTCTCATTGCAAATATTTCTCGTATTGTTCGTATTTATCATTTGACAGGAGGCTCGTTAATTACGGGAAAGCGCAATACGCATACGTCAAACTTCCGAATGTAACTTGAGCGCGACAAAGTTTATCGCTCGTCAAAATTTCACGCGACATTGCGTGTGACGTTGGCTCGTGTAGTTTCGACCGACCTCAATAAGTTTTCGACGGTTGACGGAATTTCTTCGCATTTTTTTTCTTTTTTTTTTCTCTGAAATCTCCTGTCTCCGTGTGAGTTTGTAAGTCGACGAAACGGTTGCTCTACACGCGTCACGAAGCCATCATTTTTGAACGGTGCAGCAATTAGAAATCGAAAACTCGTCATTAACGTCTGCCCTCTCTCTTTGTTCTCTTTTTATTCATTTACATTCATAGTCGTCGCTACGTGACATCAAATCCTATACTATGACTGCCTGTCTGTCCCCTATGTTTGCCGCTGTGGCTCACGTGGTTGTGGTTGATTGTTGGTGTGTTCTCCAATTACGTCATTGGTGAACAGGAGGCACCAGCACCTCCGGCACCACACCATCACCTTCAACAGCAAATCCAGCAGCAACTTCTCGCTACCCACGCCTTTATGGTAACTCCTGGTTTTGGTTGGCTTTCACTAATTTTTGTTTAATTTTACGTCATGTTGGTTAGTGGTGGACGTAAAGATATTTGTTGTTTATACATGTTAATTGATATAATAAGAAAACAGACGACGATCCGTATTTATCTAGTTTAGATAATTTGCGACGTTGCATAATACTAGTTATTTGTACAAATTTACGTCCACTGTAGCCATTCGAGCGATGCGCTTGTAATTAGTAAGCGTTCGTACAAGAGCTTAAAATTATTTCACGAATAAGTCGTATAACTTTTATTTGCATGTTTTACGAGATGTTTTATTTATTTATTGAAAAAAAAGGAGATTTGTTTGTACAAAGTTTTCCTGTAGAAAAGAGAAGCATGAAATACTGCGGCCATGTAAAATATACGCGTTCTTTGGCTCTAAAAGCGACGAATGTTTTTCTTTGAAATATTTTTGTTTTTGTGGAAAAATCGTTAGATTTCAATATAGTAATATATGAGAGTCAAAGAGACGGAGAAAAAGGATGCGAGGCGTGGTAATATTAGATTTGGAAATTGCGAGTTTTATGATAAAGTACCAGCACTAAACTTTCGTTTTCTGATACTTTGGAAAATTGGTGCAGTTAATGTATTTTCCAAGAATTTTACCTAGCCACGTTTCCGAAAGCTTCTTTGTAACGATGAAAGCTCCCAGGATACTAGAGGCTTTTCAGAAGAAAGAACGAGCGTTCGGCTCGTTCGGATGCGCTTGAAATTACCTGCCTTCGCTTCTGGGAGCCAGCTCTCACTGCAAAACCAAACGCTTCGTGTGGGAACGTACGCTTGTCGTTGAAAGCGAAGGGGAGGGCACGAGAAAAAGAAAAAAAGGACGATTAAGGCTTCGCGAGATCCGCAAACGAGATACCTTTTCTTTGCAAATTCTCGCCTTTGGCGCGACTTAAAGCTCGTTTCTCAAATTCACTGAACTCCGGTTAACTCTTTCTGGTCATTATCAGGTAAAAAATTTTCCACAGGTCAGTGTAGGTCACGATAGTTTAATTTACTGTACTTCGATGTGGAGGCAACAGTTTTGCACATTATAACTGACAATTGCAAATAAAGTCTGAAGTATGCAAATTATTAATTAAATGTTGTTAATATAATTAATATTTTTACAGTTAAATTTACATACATTTATTTTAACTAGATTTTAATTTGAGATTGTTTAAGAAAATAAATAAATTCTGTATTTTCTAACTATATTTCTATTTTTCTAAATTTTTTGAAAGATCGCGAAAGAAAGTGCGTGATTTTTGCATTCTACATATTTTCTTGCTGTGTTGCAATCTATAATTAATGTCTAATTTTTGTCGAATTATTTATTTTGATAAAGACGCAAGTTTATTATGTGCTATTTGCTCGAAATCCACAGAATGTTGCAAATAAGTATTAACTAGCTCGAGACTGCTGCATACCAATTTGCCTGTGCAATGTATTAATTTGTAATCTCCATTATTCGTTGTTATTACATTGGATATTAATGGTGCTGCTTATTTATCTGAAATTGAAGCGAGCCCAACGTAGATCTCGCAAACCAGGCGATGTACCTGTACTGCACATCTTAAAGTTAATAAACACCGAAGAGCGTTGCTCGCGAAGCCTTAATGCACCTCGAAACAGAATTTACACGGTTAGTCGGAAATGGTAGATTATATAAACAGGGTATTTAGTGACTGACGGCATAAACAGGAAAATACTGATTTCTTGTAGGAGTAATAAACTGCTCGATTTGATTTTGCAAGAGATTCATTTTTATTTAGCTGCACTCTTTCTCTCTCTCTCTCT